TTTTTTGAGACAGAGTCTTGCTCTGTCACCCAGGCTGGAGTGCAGTGGCACGATCTCAGCTCACTGCAAGCTCTGCCTTCCGGGTTCACGCCATTCTCCTGCCTCAGCCTCCAGACTAGCTGGGACTACCGGCACCTGCCACCACGCCCAGCTAATTTTTTGTACTTTTAGTAGAGATGGGGTTTCACCATGTTAGCCAGGATGGTCTGGATCTCCTGACTTTGTGATCCACCCACCTCAGCCTCCCAAAGTGCTGGGATTACAGGTGTGAGCCACCGCGCCTGGCCTATTATTATTATTGAGACAGAGTCTCACTCTGTTGCCCAGGCTGGAGTGCAGTGGCACAATCTCAGCTCACTACAACCTCTGCCTCCCGGGTTCAAGCGATTCTGCTTTCTCAGCCACCCGAGTAGCTGGGATTATAGGCATGCACCACCACACCTGGCTAATTTTTGTATTAGTAGTAGAGACGGGGATGTACTGTGTTGGCCAGGCTGGTCTTGAACTCTTGACCTCAAGCGATCTGCCCGCCTCAGCCTTCCAAAGTGCTGGGATTACAGGCGTGAACCACTGTGCCTGGTCACTTTTAAAACATTTCTATCACCCTGAAAAGAAACCCTGGACCCTTTAGCGATCACTCCTCATTTCCCCCATCCCCCGCAGCACTGGGCAACCACTAACCACCGACCTACTTCCTATCTCTACATCTGGTGGAGATGCTTTTTAAACTTTTCTTTACTACCCTGTGGTCCGTGAGGAGCATTACACTGATAAATTCTCTCCTGTTTTTTCATTCTCTCCATCCTCTTTTGCTCTAGTGCATGGCATGGGAAGCCCTCTCTAGGAGGATGCTGTGGTCACACAAGCACTGGACGAACAGCTGGAGTAGGCGACTTCCAAAGTGTCCTAATGTAGCTATTAGACCAACTCCTATATTTGGCCAGTAATTAGCGTGCTGCTGCACATTGCCACTAGGTGGTGCTGCTGCTCCATCCCAACTAACCCACATGCACTCCCTGGCTAGGGTCAGCCTTGGGGGTTCCCAAATGTAGGGGAATCCATCTCTGTGTCTACGGTAAGGGCTGGACACCAGGAGAGACCCAGAAAACAGGGATATTCCGAGAAGAGAAAGGCAAAATAAGCGCTCAAAGCAGAGGACTTTTGAGTGTCAATAATGAAGGTGGCAGCAGTAATCATGGATACCATTTATTAAAAATAGTGAATATTGGCCAGACATGGTGGCTCACACCTGTAATCCCAGCACTTTGGGAGACCAAGGCAGGTGGATCACTTGAGTTCGAGACCAGCGTGGCCAACATGGTGAAACTATCTACTAAAAATACAAAAATTAGCCAGGTGTGGTGGTGCACGCCTGTAGTCCCAGCTACTCGGGAGGCTGAGGCAGAAGAATCACTTGAACCTGGGAGGCGGAGGCTGTAGTGAGCCGAGATCGCGCCACTGCACTCCAGCCTGGGCGACAGTGCAAGACTGTCTCAAAAAAAAAAAAAAAAAAAAGTAGATATTGTGCTAGTCACTTGATACACATCATTTCATCATTTCTGATCTTTGCACCGAGCAAGGCATGTATATTATGTCTGCATTACAAAAGGGGAAAAATTAAGGTCCAAGAAGATAAAGTGGCCAGGCATGGTGGCACATGCCTGTAATCACAGCACTTTAAGAGGCTGAGACAGGCGAATCGCTTGAACCCAGGAGTTTAAGACCAGCCTGGGCAACATAGACCTCGTCGCTACAAAAAATAAATAAATAAATAAACAAAATTAGCTGGATGTGGTGGTGCGTGCCTGTAGTCACAGCTCCTTGGGAGGCTGATGTGGAAGGATCACTTGAGCCCGGAAGATAGAGGCTGCAGTGAGATGAGACTGAGCCATTGCACTCAGCCTAGGCAACAGAGTGAGACCCTGTCTCAAAACAGAAATAACGAATATAAGGTGACTTGCTGGAGGCCACATGGCCATAAGCCAAATACAGCTCTGGGGTAGCAGGGCTCACATACTTCTGAGTACACCCTACTGCCTTGGAATCTGCTGAAGACCAAGCCCCTGCCCCCACGCCATGGCAGAGGAGGAGGGAAGGAAGCAAAGGTGCCCATCGGAGACACCTTGGGTGGGGGGAGGCACCCAGGGCCCAGGAAGGCCAAGCAGCATGTGGCAGGGCAGATCAGGTGACACCCAAGAAGGAATGAGGAGAGGCTGTGAGGCAAGAGCCATAGCACAGAGTCCTGCTGTTAGGTCTGTGAAGACCACGGCCCATGGGACCTGGATCTACCCTTGATGCTAATAATGTTCTTTGGGGAAAAAAACTATAATCACAAAGTTTCTGCAACTGGACCATAGCAATGATTGCAGAGCTGTATAGATTTACTAGGAACCATCAAACTGTTCACTTACAATGGATAAATTGTACAGTACATAGGTTATCCCTCAGTAAAGCTGTATGAAGTTTATAGTCAAGAAACCAATAGTGACAAGGGAGCTGAGAAAGTAGGTCTCAGCCGTGCTGTAGGCACTTTGAGAAGAGGAAGAGTAGATTTCAGGTTTATTGAAAGCCTGGCCCATGACATCCAGCTTCTGCTTGAATACTCTCAGTGCCCGGGAGCTCAGTATCTCAAAGCAGCCCACTCTGGTTTAGGATAACTCTGTAATCCTTAGAATGTCAAAATACATCATTACTATTATTCTTAAACTGCTATGAAAAATAAATGTCTGTGTTTTGCCACATAACATTTCTCTGAGAGCTTGAGGACAGTTATTGCGTTTTCCCAAGTCATCTTTGTTTCAGACAGAATTCCCTG